GAAAATGAAAATTAATGAATACACTGTGTACAGTAATTTACCTGATAAGACAGACCTCAGAAAAATACTTTATGAGAGCTTTTATACTTTTATAAAGCTGTCTATAATGAAAATTAATTAACTAAGGATTTTTTTTGCCCTGCCAGGATGTGGTCGAGTTATCCGGAGTGCCGGGTTATCGAGTGCCGAGTTTTCGAGGCTCTACTGTATATATTTATATATATTTGTATAGTTCAATATATAATATTAAAAAATAAATATATAATGCTAACAATTTCAGTATTACAAAATATTTTTTCAGGACAAATGACCTGTTTTTCCTCTCCAGAATTCTCCATTTTGGCAGATTTTATGTTTTATAGAGGATTGTGTTTTTATTAACTCTTATAGAGAATTGGAAAGAAACAGCACTATTGTATTGTCATAGCTATTTCCCAGAAATAATAATAGTATCTTAACAAAGAAAATGATAGACTGAATTCTTGATGATGAGAATTATAATCATGATCCAAGCCTGAAAAGTACATCATTAATTATGATTTAGAATTTTGCTGGAGTTATGCCATAAAATTCCACTTTACTCAGATTATGTTATTCAATTGGCTTCCAAAAAGCTTGTTTTCATGTTAGATATTTTTCTGACTTATTATAGTATTTCACCAAACAAATAATTCTGTTCTGAGATTTGTTTTCTATTTAGGCAGGTTTCTGTTTTGTACAGTGTCTGCTTTAGATATGTTTTATTGTATAATATTAGGATTTAATTTAATTTTACTTAACCGAAAACTAAGTTAATGAATTACACTAATTAAAAGATTATTATTCCATCCACAATTATTATTGACAGTATCTGTTTGGATCCATTATTTTTGAATCTGATATATGAAACCATGCTGTATATAATTTGTCATGATTTATTACATCTCTTATATAAAGCTATATGAATAGAAGAATTAAATTTAATAAAAAGCTTTAATAGTAAATTTTAAATAATAATAAATATACTTACTCATATAGCTTGGTTCAACAACATAAATTGAAAGAGCCGAATATAATCTTTTACTCTCTTTGACATCTTAAAAAAAATCAAAGTCAAAATCATATTTATTACTACAATTACTAATATTACAAAAATAATTCAATAAATTTAAGAAATGAAAAGTAAATTACTTTTTCTTGCAAAACGAACTACAGATTTTCCATTAAGTTTTGCTGTGACATCAAATTTATTTGTAACTTCTATTACACTTGAATTTCTCACTTTTAAAACATAATCATCTGGCAAAGCTGTTACATCTAAATAGAAAAATATAATGCATTTTATTTATTTTAATTTATAAATACAATGAATTCCCATACAACATGGAGGATACATTTTGCATTATAGGAAGCAGAGTTATATGAACCACACGCTATGTATGAATTGTGAGATTTGATACCAAACTCACAGTTCATACATAACACATGGTTTGCATAATGTAGAACGTATCCCATGTGTTATACATGCTTTACTGTAATGTATAATTTAAAAATATATTTTTAAATTATACATTACAGTAAAGCATATATCTTATAGCTTAAAATAACAACAAAAAAATAAATTTATATAATTTCTAAATTCTAATTTTGTAAAAAATCCAATTTTTTTTTCTTTTCATTTAAATATAGTATAATATCCTTTTTAGTAATAAAGTTAATACAATATATTACATTACTATAACTGTAATAATATGTTAATAGGATTGTAATAAATATTCTGAGATATTAAAAGTCAAAACCCAATTTTAAATAATACATAAAATGATTCTGTAAATAATACAATTATTTTCATATTTAAAAAATTTTAATTAAAAAAGACATTAGTTTTTAACCAATAAACTATATATATTGTATATGTGAGGCATTCAAAAAGTTCCCAGAAAGTGAACAGAATGCTATATTTATAATTAATTGAAGCGAGCATAAACTTGTCTAAACTTGTTTTATTGGGTATTCATATCTCGTCCCATCAGACTTTTTATTCCCAAATTTTAAAAACAAAACATTAAAGGCATTCACTGGTAGTTGATAGATCAAGTTAAATATTTTGTAGTGCAGTAACTAGAATAAAAGAGCACTGATTTCTACTGGAAGAAATTAGAAGGGTGGTGTCACCGTATGGAAAAGTGTTTTAACTTAAATGGAATTTATGTTAAAAAATAAAATATTGGTATTTTGTTAGATGTTTTTAATAAAAATAAATGACTATATCTTCATTGTATATTGTAATCATGTTCTCAAAAGTATCAATATTAATAATAATTAATATCAAAATAAATACACAAAAATCTGCACATTATTATTTTAATAAAAAATAAATATAAGTATTTATATATTTAATGAATACTACTTTTATTGTATCTATATAATACTGTTCATATACTTTACACTGCAATAAATTAATTTATATTATTTATTTAAAAACGTAATTATTATATTAAAGTTAGATATCATGCAAATCTGATTCCAAAGATTAAGATTGTCTAATTTTTATATTAGGCTTGTTTTATAGTTAAATTTGAAAGTAAAAAGTGTTATAGTTTTATATAGTTTTAAGAATGAAATTCATAATACAATATTAATTAAAAAACATTTCAAAAATATATTTACCAAAATGTTTTCCTTCTCTTACAATTTCAGCCACAAGTTTACATTTACTTCCAGGGAGAAGATATAAAATTTCCTTTTTGAATCTAATATTACTTTTTATTACAATTTCTCTTTCTTCAGTTTTTATATCCTGTAATTAATTAAATTACAATATTATATTTAAATAAAAAGACTTTAATATTACAATCTTTATTAACATATAAACATAAAAGGATTGTTTTTATACGTTAATAATAATGTCCAACAGATTGTTTTTTATATTGTAATTATATGTTTGACAGTTGTCATTTTTCTATTTTAAGAGTTCCATTTTGTTAAGACGCATTGTGGGGTCTGATGTTGTCCCCCAATGATACATAAGATATATGTAGGAAAGCAGCCAATGCTAATAATATCACCTTGGTATATCGACGCAACCCAACAATCTTCAAAATCCTAAGGAATGATAAAAAAAAGCCACATAACTGCAATTCTGCCTCGGGGATCTACTCCATCCTGATAGATGATCAACGTTTTGAATCAAAACTGGTCAATGTGGGTGTCACTGGACATAATTTGCAACACAACTCAGGGAACATAAGTATGCAATTGAAAAATCACAACAACATAACACTGACAGGTTATGCACAGAATCAGAACCTACAAGTAAACTGGGAGCAAGCAAAAATCATCAGACCCACATCCAATATATTATACATATTATAGGTTATCTAGAAAAATTAGAAATTTATAAGGCTTACAAAAATTCCAAATACATCAAACTTAGAGATACTGTCAATCTGTCTAATGCATGATGGTCCATTAACAAAATTTAATTATTTAGTTGTTTGATTAACGAATATTTATTCATAGATTTTTATTTTTATTTTATTATTTTTACATGTACTTGTTGTTATTTACTTACTGTATTTATTTATTTATTTGTGTATTTTATTATTTTTAATGTAACATCCTTAAATTCAAATGCTTGTTTTTTTGAATTTATACTTATGAATTAATATTATATATTATGAAATAATAATAGAAGAATAAAAGAACATTTATGTTCTTTTATTCTTCTATTTCATTATGTTCTGTAACGGAGGAAGATCTAAGAATCTGATAGGAATTATGGAAATTTAAGTACATTAAAACAAACCAAAACACTTAGTCATTGTATCATTGTATCAGGTAATTTTTTTTTTTTTTGTAATTGCCAAATTTGTTTTATTCTGTTTTAAAATTTACTTACACTGTATCTCTTCATTATTTTACTTCTAATCTTAAAAAACATAAATCATTGATTTTAGTTAATCTGTATAGATAAGTCTCCCCAATTTTCAAATGTACAGTTATAACACAATTAAACAAACACAGTTCAGAAAAGCTGTTCCAGAATTTTTGTTCCAATCTGCAATAGTGGGAAGACATGTAAAACACCAAAACCAGTTGTAAAAATCCAATATATTTATGAGTTTTTGTAAATATATTGGACTTTTGCAACTGGTTTTGGTGTTTTATGTGTGTTTCTAGCTAAATATTACCAATTTAATGAAGTTATTGTCATAATGGTGAAATCTGATAATGGAAGATAGTATTCTGAAAATATTTAATTATGAAATAAAAACAAATCAGTTGGATTCCTTTAGGGAAAAATCTTCTACCTTGAATAAAGCATTGACTGATTGGCAACTGTATAATTTTGTAATATTGTATAAGTAATTTCAATATGAATTTTACAAGTATAAAAACTGTGATAAACAAGAGAATTTGAAAAAAATAGATATAATAATGATATTTGTTTATAATAAATCATTTTAAGCACAATATATTTTTATCATCACTGTTTTAAAGTAAGAATTAATTATATAACTTATTCATGGACCAAAACAGCAAGTAGAGAAATTTAAAATTACTTAAAAATAATAATTTAAATAACTTAAGAATATTGTTAATGTCAAATAATTAATTCAAAAAAAAAAATTGAATATAATCACAGTTAATTCTGTTTAATTTGAATAGTTGACTAGTTAAGTTTAATGAATTTTTCATAAATAATTTAAATTATATAGTTACAAAAGTAAAATTCTATTATCTTATATTAAATATAGCACAGTTTTTAAGATAAAAAACTATATTTAAAAATTATAGCATATAGAAATACATACAGCATAAATTGGATTTTTTGGTCGAACAAAAATCTTTCCTATTCCTATTTCTCTTCCCCGAGTTAAAACTAATGATCCTCTAGAATTTAATTTCTCCCAGTAAAATGATGATAATCCATAGTTATATGAAGAATCAACAAAATTTAAAAATCTGTTGAATAAAAATCATTATTTAAATATAAGTTGTTTTGTTTTTAAAAATATTTTGCATTTGTTTATGCTTGAATTCAATATTCAATAAATATTAAATTATTTTGCCATATGGATATCAATTTAAAATGAAATTCAATAATAGATGAATAAAAAATTTGAAAAAAAAAAAAATATATATATATAATATATCAATGTGGAACTTTAAAGAAAATTCTTTAAAATAAACTACAGTAATAAATTTCTAATAAAAGTAAATATTTAATATTATATCAATATTAATTTAATATTTTTGGCAATAAAGATTTTAAGAGTATCTGATCTTGATTAAAATCAAATTATAATAATATAAACTTCAATATTTTTACCATATAGTTGAATTTATAAAAAATATATTTCATGAAAAGAATTATTATTATTTAGAGATGAATATTCATCTCCAAACTATTAACTCTTATTTATATGCTTATTTTTTAGATCACAAAAGAAAAATAATAAACAGATTAGCTATATTTCTAGCCATTACATTTGTATTTTATTCAAATAAGTAAATTTAAAAAATAAATTTTTTATTAATCATTTAAATTTAAAAACAAGTTATGAGATTCTCATTTATAATAAATTTAATTTGACTATTAATAGACTTAATTCTAAAAATCCTAAAAATATTAAGTAATCCGATAAATCAATATATACTATATCTAACAAAAAGTTGCAGTCACCCATCATTTTTTAAATTGACATAAGAAAATAAGATAAATAAAACATGTGTTAGTTCTTGCAAAGAATTTTTATACAAATTATAATATTAATAAATTTATGGAGTAACTTCATAGAAAATTTAATTGGCTGAACATACTACATTGGAATTAAAAGCATGAATGACCAAAACTTTGTCAAGTACTGTACATATACTACATATTGATAAACATGGCTATGTACTGTACATATTTATAGCTCTTGTATTTTTTCAGTTTTAAAAAGTTTGAGAGAACTTTGATAAAGTTACTAAATTTATTGATTAAATCAGAAATTCTTGTGGTTAGGTTCTGATAAAAATCACAACCCACCCACAAGAAGAACTATATTGAAATTAACCTGAGAATATGTTACTTTCAGGAAGATATTCATATTTCAAATTGAATAAGAATTTTAAAGCAGACACTGAAATTTAATTGTCATAGAAATTATTTGATGTAAATTAATCGAAATATGCAGAGTCAAAATTATTAATAATGAGCAATTATTTATTGTGACATCATCACAATGCCAGGCTGCAATTTTTAATCATATTTTTTATAATTTTTAATTTAAAACATATGCACTCCTCCTCAAATTAGTAGTCTTGCCTTTGTACATCAAACTTTTCCTGTTAGCAATAGTATTGTGCTGGTCATCTAACTCCTTTCAGGAGAAAATTTTTAAATTGAAATAATGTGACTTCTGGTTTGTACTACAAGTCTGTATATAATTAATCAGGGCGTCCTGTCCCTAATCTTTTCATATCTGGTCTCAGCTTTCTAACTTCGTTGTCTATATTATGGAAAGACGGACAGATGACAGTGGGAATTTATAGGTCTGCAATTTTAAAAAAATTCCAGACCTATAAATTCCCACTATTCCTATTTTATTTCCTATTTATTAAAATTTCAGCCCAATAATAAAATTTAACTATTTAATACCAATAATAAAATTGGTATAATTATTAAACAAATATATTATTTTCAATTACGTTAATTTACTATAAATGAATATTGTATTTTAATCTTATCCAATAAAATTTCTTATTTCATTGCATTACATTTAATTTACAATCTGTAATATAAATATTTATATCTAATAACTTAACTGTAAACTGGAGTTATTTGGTCCTGAGAATGTCCATTCAAATTCAATTCCAGATAAACTAGAAAATGTATCACCTAAAAAAATAAGATAATTAGAATTGTTTATTACAGCTAAAATAATTTCTTTGAGCAAAACCTGTTAAGATTTTTTATAATAAAGAACCATACACAGTGCTTCTACAATAAGAATCCTGTTTATTGAACAAACACAGGTAGAAAGAGACAGACACAAATACGAGGATAGGGTCCCCAACCATGTTAACAATTCTTAACAAAATCATTCTAATAAATATAATAATACAGTGGAACCCCGGTTAACAAACTTAATCTGTTCCGCAACTCTGTTCGTTAACTGAATTGTTCGTTAACCGAAGCAATTTTTCCCACAGAAATTAATGAAAATGCAATTAATCCATTTTAGTTTCCGAAATTTTTGTGATTTTATTTGTAATATACAGTAGATTTTCTTTCATGAAAATGTAGGAAAACGTAGTATCTATCATTCTAGAAACAAACATGTAAACTTTGTTTAATAAAATAGTACTGTACTGTACATATCGTTTGTTGTAGTTGGTGGCAGAAAAGTGGAGATATACGAACCTTAATGCTTAGAAGGGAAATCCCTCCAAACAATAATAGGTAGCACTTCATCAGAAGATTCTTCGAGTCGAAGTCTCTTTCGATAAGAAAGCCCACCAGTGGCTAAACGGTCTTCATACCCTAAACATGGGTAGTTCATTCGTGGGTTCGCACCTCGCTCAGACGGGCTGTCCACATGGCGTTTTCCGGGTTTTCTCCACATCTGTAAAGCCTAAATAGGGGCCAGTTTCCCTTAAAAACACCTCCCAGAAAAGGCATTTCCCCTAGGCAGATTGCCCAAGTGTTGCATTGCCATAACTTAACAAACAAACAAACTCTTTCGGTAAGGAACAAGAAATTGATCTAAAGTCGATTGTCTTACTCTTTTAATAAAAAATGTTCTCAAATGCGATAGCGTGTTGTCATTTTCTATTGCCACTATGACTTTTTTCTTTCTTGGATGCCATATTGATTAAATATATAAATCACAAAACTGAAAAAAGAAGTATAGCACAAACACTCGGAAAAGCAATGCTTAACTCATGCATGCATAAACACCAACTAAAATTTGACACAAAATACCGGTATGTTCGTTATCCGAGACAAAATTTTCGCAAAATAAAAGTTCATTAACTGATTTGGTCATTAACCAGGACGTTTGTTAACCGGGGTTCCACTGTATTTGCTAGAATGCAATTTAAAGTAAAGAGTAATTGAAAAGTTATACAGCTAAAATTTTCAATAGAATGTTTTGAAGTATATATGTTATGGTGAAAACACCTCTTGTCAAAGTTGACATCTCTAATATTTTATTTGCAATAGCAAAAAAATGCATTTTCCCATGCACACATATACTTGGTCAAATGTAAGATAGCTGAAGAATTTCCCAAGAAACATCTTAATATCAGTGATTACATAAGCACTGATAGGTCACTTTCAGAAACTAGGACTGATGACAATTAAAAGCAACAAGCCTCTATCTGTTTTGAATAGCAATGAAATGGATGAAGTTTAAAATGTTGCTTTACCTTCCAAAAAGAAAGCTTATGGTGCAATCAAGATTGTCAAATGAAAGCATATATAAGGCAGTAAAAAGTTAGACCTCTATCCATATCATCATGTTCATGAGGTTCGAGAGATAAAATAGCCTGATCAAAAAATCACATATAATAAAAGTGTAAAACTGAAATATTGTAGCTTCACTGATGAAAAATAGAATGGAAGCTTGAATCAGTTTCCTTTACTATTCACATATGTAAATATGTAAACAGCCAAAAGAAGAATTTGGTTCTCAGAAAAAATCTATTGTATAAAAACCCTTACATTTTGAAAATTTAAGGGATTTTATGCATATTTTTATGCATATGTGACAATTTGATGAAACCATATTCCAGAATCAAAATACAGGAGTATGGTATAGAATATGGTACTGGAATATTGGATTATATATAAAATATGGTGTCATCTAACTGTCACATAGTCCACCCTAGTTTTTGAGAGTATCATAAATAGGAAGAGTGTACATCAAGATATCACCAAACAATTTTTTTATTTACTTCAGATTGAGAAATATTATTGATTTCAATAAGACAGAACAATGTGCCACATAAGTGCTGACACAACGTCATTTATTCAAAAGTTCTCCAGTGATAAGTTCACTTCTGATGGATTATGGTCTCCAAGATCACTTAATTTGTCATATCTAGTTTTCTCTGAGGATATTATAAAGGAGTGGTCTACAGAAATTACTCATATACTCTAAATGAGTTAAACACAAATATTATTACTAAGATTAAAAAGATTACTGGTCTAATACTATACAAAATGGCTGAAAATATGGGAAAAAATATATACAGTGGAACCTCGGTATACGTCTGCTTTAGAATACATCCAATTCGGAATACGTCCTGTTTGGACGAAACAAATTTTGCTCGGTATACGACTTTTATTCGGTATACGACTTAATTCAATTATACTTGCCATCTATAAACAATTAGCATTATCGGTGTACTACACTAGACTAGATGTTTGCGGTGCTAAGGTTTATAACTTTGTTAAATTTCTTCTGATTTTAATTTGTAAGTAACATTTTATTATTTTTATTAATCATGAATTGCAAAAGGGCAACAGAAAAATAAAAAAATGACTAGAATCACAACGGAACTGAAAAAAGAGATTGTTGAGAAATATGAAGGTGGCACGCGTGTTCGAGATTTAACGAGATTTAACTGTTGCATTCCGTATTCCGAGAACGACGATATCGACAATCGTGAAAAATAAAGACATTATTAAATTTGCTAACGTTGCAAAAGGGGTTAAATCAATTTCTAAACAGAGATCGAAGACATTAGATCGAGTCGAGAAATTGCTTTTGCTTTGGATAACTGAAAAAGTGTGCCGGCGACAGCGTATCGGAAGAAATTATTTGCGAGAAAGTTAAAAGGATACATGCTGCTCTCATGAAAAATCAAGCAGAAACTAGCCAGGAAAGCGAGGTGTTTAAAGCCAGCCATTTTTTTTTACATGAGAACGGATTAATCATTTTTACATTACTTCTTATGTAAAAGGTTGGTTTGGTATACGTCCTATTCGGTATAAGTCCAAACACCAGGAACGGATTAAGGTCGTATACCGAGGTTCCACTGTATTTGATCAAATGTAAAAGGAATGACAAAGGAATGGAAAAGCTCGTCCACAGATATAACAAATTCCTCAATCTTCACGGTAATTATGTCAAAAAGTAACCATGTCTGTACCTAACTTTTGGTAATAAATTCATTTTGTTATTTACAATTGTTTTTTTTTTTTTTTTTGATGGACCATCGGAGCTTGAAAAACAGCCTACGTATAAAAGTATTTGGGTAAATGCCCGGAGCTTCTTTAGAGTTCAGAGTAGGATACCTCTATGAGCGCCTCTGCCCCCCCATAAAATGACTTGGTATTTAATTTTGCCGGAGTTGGGCATCAGAGTTGGAGTTGGAGTCAGCCTACTAAAATTATCAGGAGTTGGAGTTGGAGTTAAGCGTTTTTTTTACCAACCCCGCAGCCCTGATATAAAGATACGAAATAAATTGTTTTGATTAAATTTAGTTGCTGGAAAAGTGTGTAAGCTGTGTTTAGTATCTTTATATACTGATGAAACTATTACAGTATATTAATTGGAAAATAAATATTTTAACTAAAATAATGAGTAATTTCTTTATAAAAAAGTGTATTTAACTACTTAAGAACTGTGACTCTTGTAGACCATTATTGCATCTCCTGTGTATATACAGTATATAAATTATATATAAAATACCATTCCAACAGAGAATGTGGCTCTCACTTATTTCTACTTATTTCTGATAAGCAGTATATAGCTCCTATTGTGACAAGGTTTGACCACCCTGGCATAGAGTTGGCAACTAAGTGATTGCAGATTTTAAATAAGAAGGAAAATTCAAAATTTTTGCTTAAAAATATAAAAAACTTTATTCAATTAGGTATTGTCCATTTTTGTCAATGACCTCTTGCCATCTTTCAGGCAGTGTCATAATTTCATGTTTATAAAACTTCTGATTTTTGCCAGCAAAAAACTGAATTAAATGTGTTTTTACATCATCAGAGTCATTAAAAATTTTACCATTTAAGGAGTTCTGCATGGAACGAAATAAATGGTAATCTGAAGGTGCAAGGTCAGGGCTATATGGTGGATGTGATAACACATCCCAACCTAGCTCCAATAATTTTTGGCGAGTGACCAAAGATGTGTGGGGCTTTGCATTATCATGCTGGAAAACAACATCCTTATGATTTGACAATTCTGGCTGCTTTTCTTGAACTGCATCACTTAGTTTGGCGATTTGTTGAACATACACATTTGAATTAATCATTTGGTTTCTTGGTAAAAGTTCAAAGTACAGAATTCCTTTATAATCCCACCAAACTGACAGCATAATCTTTTTTTGGAGAATCTCTGCTTTTGATATCATCTGGGCTGGTTCATCTCGCATCACCCATGATCTTTTCCGATTAACGTTGCTATAAACTATCCACTTTTCATCGCCAGCAATCAGTTGTTTCAGAAATGGATCAATCTCGTTGCGTTTCAGAAGTGAATCACAGGTGCTAATGCATTGCATCAAATGAATTTCCTTAAGCTGATGAGGGACCCATAAATCCAGTTTCTTGACATAGCCAAGCTGTTTTAATTTTTTTTGAATGCATGTATGTGATACATTGAGCTTCTGTGCAATCTCACGCGTTATGCTATGACGATCTGAATCGATAATGGCCTTGATATGGGTCTCATCAACTTCAACTGGATGGCCAGATCATTGAGCATTTTTCAGTGAAAAATCACCAGAACAAAATTTGTCAAACCAATTTTAACACTGCCTTTCTTTCAAGGCTTCATTCCCATATATGGCGCACAACTTCTTGTGTGCTTGTGATGCATTCTTGCCTTTTCAGAAATAATACAATAAAATATGTCTGAAATGCACATCTTGTTCTTCCATTTTTAAATTGGGATAAAAACGAAACTAAATAACTAATTGATACAATTTTTTTACTAAATTAAAGGTGGAAGTCCAAACAACAAGAAAACAATATAGGTTAAATGCTTTGAACACGATGACAAAGCAAAAAAATGTGCTAAGGCAACCTATTGACAAAATCCAAATCACTTAGTTGCCAACCCTATATTATATTAACAATACAAGCAGCAATATATAAGTTTACTGGAAAGAATAATCTATTTTTAATTTTCGAATCTGAAAAATAATTCAAGAAAACTTTAAAATACATACCATTTACACTTTTCCCAATAACTTCAAAGACTGTAGGCAAACCTTCAGCTATTAATTCAGAAGTAACAGATTTTATTTCAATGTGGTCAACATTGTCTATTATCACATCACAATAAAAGATATTTTGTGTATCTGAAAAAAATATTTAGAAAATATAACTGAAATTTTTTAAAGACAATTAACTAATTACTAAAAAAACTAATGATAATATATTAAAATCCAAACCTTTACAATTATGATCATAGTATGAAAAATTAACTATCACTAATACATCTTAAACTACATATCTTATAGTAAAACCAACACATTTACATTCAGTTTGGGATTTTTAGGATTATTTTGGGATTTTTTCCCTTTCACACAATCTGGGTGTTTGCCCACAGGCAAACACACGAGAATTGAATGTCATTTAGATGGGTAGCAGTGCATTGCAAGGCATGAGATTTTTTATATGACACAATCACAGAGAATTCTTTTCCTGGACAACAAATCTACCTAAATCTGTCAGCTCAAGGCCTGGCACAGACATTTGCCATGTTGCAACTCAGGCCTGCCGTAAGTGGGCATGCAAGGCGTGCACCACACGCGGGCGGCATGTCCAGGGGGCGGCAAATCGAGCTATCTGTTATGTAATATTTAAAGTCATTGTCATAATACCCACCCTACTTATACCATAAGAAATGTCTTCGCATGAAGAAAAAATTCTGACCGGCGCGCAATTATTATATTTTTATTTATATTATAGCATTAAAGCGCCTCTATTGGCATTTATCAGAATTAAGATGCAATGCAAAACGTCTGTCGGCAGGTTGAAGCATCCGGCGGCGCCCGAAAGCCAAGTACCCATAGTCGTGCTCTATGACAGAAGTTGATAGGACTGGCGATAATAGGGAATCCCACAGAGCTTCCTTCTCAATTTGTACTTGTACGCATTCGAACAGTTCTATCGCATATCAAATTGCAATTATTTTGTTAATAATTTTTCTGACATGGGTCTAAGTATAATTAATCATATTTTAACTTGGTTAGTATTTAAATCTGAAGCTTAAAGACGATTCGAGTAGTGAAACAGACATTGACGGTATTGATTTGTATGATTGAAATCTGTACTTTAAAGTTGCATTTTCCAGAAAACCAGTCTAATGATCCACAAACCCTATTACAATA